TGCCTTACTCTCGTTGTTGTTGAAGTGAGTCTATTTAGATATAATTTACACTGAACTGGATATGGTGGTGTGAGCTGCCTTACTCTCGTTCTACAGGCATATACCACCAAGGTCCCGTGGACGTAGGTGTTGCTGCACTGCTAGACAGCAGCTACCTAGGCGCAATGGTGTTTTCAGAGCTGTGTTTCTTGAGATCCGTGTAGGTACCTAGGCGGGCCCCCGCCGACCAGCGCGACCTGGCTTCGAGCCGCTCGCCACTCGACCCGAGGTTGCTTGCAATGTGGACAGACTCGAGTCTACGCCAGCTGCAGTAGTGCGACCAGGACGCGGATCGTTTCGCATGGCCGTACCCTCGCTACTGACGAGCGTTCCATGTCATCGTAGCGCAATGAGAAAGCGTACAGAATATAGGTTGTACAATATTGTGCGCATACGCTTAGTCTTCCTTGCTCGCTTCCGAGTCGGACGACGTGCCCTCGTACTCGTCCTTGGCGGTATCGTGGACGCTGTTGGTCATGACCTTGGCCAAGAGGCGCACAAGGAGGAAGCCCCACCAGACGTGCAGAACGTAGAGCGTAATGAGGAGCGCGTTGAAGCCAAACCACATCGGAACGCCGGGGAAGCTCAAGATGCTGAGGTCGTGGGCGTCGGCGGGCGACATGCACGCCTCGCGGTTCTCCCAGAAGGCCGAGTTGATGAGCTTCACGGGGAAGAGGTAAATGCGCACGTAGAACCAGACGCTGAGCACGATGGCGAAAAGGCCCTCGGTGATGAAGAGGCCCGACGCGCCTTCGAGCTTCATGTAGTTGGCCATCTTGAGCAGGTCGAGCGGAATGTCCGAGGCGTCGTGGACGATGAGGATCAAGACGCCGACGGGAAGGTAGCCCTGGGCATAGCTCCACGAGACGAGCGCGATCGTGACGACGTGGTGCGTCATCATGACGAGGTAGTCCTTGCGGATTTCTTCGAGGAACTTGCACGAAAAGGCCGTGTAGATCCAAATCGCCTAGACACCAAAAGCGGTCATGTCCACACATTCGCATGGCCGTCGCGTACGAGTTGCGTGATGTACAGGAACTTGGTCAAGTACTTCTGCGTCGGAAAGTCGCACGTCACGCTTTCGGGGTTCCACACTAGAGGCCATGCATGAGATCCTCTTCCTCATCATCATCGTGGTGACGTACTCGAGCGCGTGTCCTGCCACCACGTCTCGTCCATGATGACGACGATCTCGAGCACCGTCATGGAGGCGTGGATCGCGAGCTGCCACGACTGGTCCGTGAACTTCTTCATCGTCGTCTTCTTCTTGAGCGGATCGCCGAGGTGCTGCAGGAACGTGCTGGAGATCCAGGCTCCGCCGACGCGGAACGTCGCCTTGACGGCGAAGATGGCCACGGCGACAACGAGGATCATGGCGCCGAGCGTCATGAGGAGGTCCGTCTCGAGGATGTAGAAGAGCGAGATGCACTCGGCGAGGAGCGCGGCCATGAGGAGGCCATCGAGCACCGGGTGCGGCTTCGCGACCGAGTTGCCCCGCTTGCCCATCAGGTCGAAAATTCGAAAATGAGGCTGCCGCAAGCTGCCATTTTTAAAAAATTTGCTGCCGCGTATACAAATGTGCAGTGTGGTTCAAACCCGCGCATTGTAGAGGTCCATCACGCGCGCGGATTGGCTGCAAGAATGGATACCGGCCGTTGATTGGCCAGCTATTCTTTAGGGAGATTGCCAGGGATGGAAGAAGATTGCCAGCTGGTCGATCGCCGCCTGTCGTCGCACAATGTAGGTAGTCGATGGAGAGGCAGCCAATAAGTTCTACTGCACTGCCAGGAAGCGCTGCTTGAGAGGCCTTGCACCGAGACAGAGGCGAGGGACGATGTCACGGCGCTAGCGTAAACGATCACGACAGATGCTTGTTGCATCAACATCAAGGACTTTTGTGTGTGGACAGGTACTGTGGACATGTTCGTCATCACGTCGCATGGTGCGACGAGTAGCCATCCACGAGAAAAGCGCGCGTAGAAGAGCGCGGCTCGGTGTCTGTGTGCCCAGTGCATTGCCCTGCACCAGTCGCTCGATGGCGCGGACGAACCATCCTGCGCCTGCGCACCCGTCCTACACCTCTGCACGATCGTGCACTGAGGCAAGCCGGTACCGCGTCGATCCACAAGCCAACAAGCTGCCATGCTCCAAATGTGATCACGTGACTCTCGAGAATGTTTACAAGTATATCGTTAACGTTATGGCCACTCGCTGCGACGCGGCTTGCTGCTGCAAATCGTCGATCCGTCGTCGTCATGGTACGAGTCGAAGTCAAAGTCGTCCATCTCCGTGTAGACCATACTTTGCACGTCGCGGTCGCGGCGCAAGCGCACCGGCACGAGGACAACGGCGGCGACGAGCATGCTCCACGCCACCGCGAGGAGCGCGAGGAGCGCATTCGCGCCGAGCTGCTGCCACGTCGTTCGATTGCGCAAGCCGAGAACGGCGCTGCGCTGCGCGTCCGAAACGACGACGCTACTCGCAAGCAAGCCGAAGACACCGGCGCCCAAGTGGACTGCGACAGCGCTGCTGTACTCGCTCGGCACCCGAAGGCGTTGGGCCGCCACCGCGGCTTTGGCAACCGCCAAGTACGCGCAAGCTCCTCCGACGCCCAGCAGTAGCGCGACGAACGGTGCCACCAAGCCCGCCGACCCCGAGCCAGCGACGAACCCTGCAAACGCGCATACAGAGACGTCCATGGCTGGCAAGAACGTCCCCATCGCGATGAGCCCGACGAGCGCACCGCCTGTTGACGCCAAGATGGTATGCACCGCGATGGTGACGAGCGTTGGTAGCCAGACATCGCCGCCAAGAAATAGAGTCGCGTGGCCGAGGGCGAGGCCTGGCCACCCGATGCTTGTGAGGCCCGTCGCGAGGATCGAGAAGGGATCGGTGGCGAGCACTTGCGCTGTCTCGAGCGTATCGGGCAAAAGCAGCATCGCGGTCAAGACAATGGTGCCAATAGGAATATGAACTGCACTGAGGCCGCCCATATCGATGGCGCCAAGACCGTTCGAGTCGAGGCTGGGGGCGAACCAGCCATGGTCCGCGGCGAGCATAAGTGCGGGGTACACGACGCCTGCAGCAGACAATATCAGAAGGAGGAGCAGTCGAGACGGCAGCTGGAGGTGCAGCGTTCCGTGCAGTACTGAGATGAGGACGAGGCCCGTTGCCACGTGGAAGAACAGGACGTCGGCGGAAAGAGGGCTTAGCACCGCTGAAAGAAGCTGCAGCACGAGGACGAGGACGGCCACGCCCATGCACACGATTGTCGCCGGTTCGATTCCCGCTGCCGTCTCGAGGCCCGCGGTGTAGAGCGTACTACGGCGCTGGATGCTGCTGGCGGCGGTGGCGATGGACGCCATGGCATGACCGATGGGTAGTAGAAGGACCAGGAAGAGGCTCATGTGGAATGCAACCGCTCGCAGACTGGCGTCGTCGGCGGATGGCGTCTCGCCGGCGCGGGCCATGGAGGTCCATACGGCTGTCAGGTCGGGCGCGTGGATCACGATCGTCGTCTCCATGGCACCGGGTTGTGCCAGCGAAGAAGATCGCGGATGGCTTTGTTGTTCCATGTACGGTATCATACAGCGTACATTTCAATACTGTAATCTTGCTGAAGGGTACATTCGTACGTACTTCATACCGTACTATATTCGGCATATGCCATCCTGGCGAGCCCGGTACTACTGCAGTAGGCAGTACTACGAGACCCGACGCAGTAGACCACACTGCACATAGAGCGTCTAATCTATTGATACTAATCAAGATAAGGCTGTACTAGTAGTGCAGGCATGGCGTGGCAACAGGAATGATCGCGGTCGTGCGGAGTGTAAGGTGGCATACCTGGCATATGCCGAATCGAAGCATCCCAACCATAAACCAACAGGAGCATCATGTCGGGGAAGCGGAAGGACCGAGCGCAGAAGCGCCGCCGAGACGACGACGACGACGATGATGAGACCGTCGAAGTCGGCGCCGCTCTCTCGGCTTATCAGCAGCGCAAGCAGCAGCAGCAGCGAGGCGACGGGTCTGGCGATGAAGGCGATGAGCTCGACGAGGACCAGCGCGAGCGCCGGGCGTTCGAGGAGCGCATGCGGCTCAAGGACGAAGAGCGCACGCGCAAGCGGTCCGGCCAGAAGGAAGAGTCGCTCGACCAGGCCGAGCTGCGCGAGCTTGCGACGCGCGGGTCCGTGGCGGACAAGGTGCGCGACGCGGCGATCGAGGCCCGGCGCGCGGCGAGCCGGCGCGAGTTCCTGCGCATGCGCACGGAGAAGATGTCCAAGCTCGTCGACTACGCGGTCAAGGACGACGCGCTCATGTTCGGCGACGACGTGTCCAAGAAGGAGCTCGAGAAGCGGACGCTCCAGGAGACGATCCTCTCGATCGAGCGGGCCAAGGCGCGGGGCGACACGATTGACGCGTACCAGATCCCGGACGCGAGCGACCAGTACGACGCTGACGGGAACCGCGTGAAGAAGACGGTCGAGGACTTTTCGATCGTCGAGCGCGACGACGAAGGCCCGGTCAAGACGGAGCAAGAGATCTGGGAAGAGACGCAGCTCAAGAACGCCCGGAAGGACGCGCTGTACGGCGCGCAGGACCGGAAGGCCGAAGTCGTGTACGAGCTCGAGATGGACGACCAGATCGAGTTCATCTCGCAGCAGATGATGGCCGGCCACAACGTCAGCACGGAGGACATTAAAGATGCGCGCAAGCGCGCCGAGGAGAACCAGCACATGAGCATGCTCGAGGCGCGCAAGCAGCTGCCGATCTATGCGTACCGCGAGGTGCTTCTCGAGGCCGTGCGCGACCACCAGGTCATCATCATGGTCGGCGAGACTGGGTCGGGCAAGACGACGCAGGTGCCGCAGTACCTCCACGAGGTCGGCTACTCGGAGATGGGCAAGATCGGGTGCACGCAGCCGCGCCGAGTCGCGGCCATGAGCGTGGCCGCCCGCGTCGCCCACGAAATGAACGTCAAGCTCGGCAACGAAGTCGGGTATTCGATCCGGTTTGAAGACTGCACGTCCGAGAAGACCAAGGTCAAGTACATGACGGACGGCATGCTTCTTCGCGAGTTCCTCACCGAGCCGGACCTCAAGAGCTACAGCTGCCTCATCATCGACGAAGCGCACGAGCGCACGCTGAGCACGGACATCCTCTTTGGCCTCATCAAGGACATTTCGCGCTACCGCGAAGACCTCAAGATTATCATTGCGTCCGCGACGCTGGATGCGGAAAAATTCTCCGAGTACTTTGACAATGCGCCGATCGTCAAGATTCCGGGGCGCATGTTTCCCGTCGACATCCTCTACACGCGCGCGCCGGAAGCCGACTACCTCGACGCCGCGATCGTCACGGTGCTGCAGATCCACATTACGCAGCCGCCAGGCGACATTCTCGTCTTCTTGACCGGCCAAGAAGAGATCGAGACCGCCGAAGAGCTGCTGTTGTTTCGGACGCGCGGTCTCGGCTCCCGGATTCGCGAGCTCCTGATTCGGCCCATTTACGCGACGCTGCCGTCCGAGCGGCAGGCGCAAGTGTTCGAGACGACGCCACCGAACGCGCGCAAGGTCGTGATCGGGACCAACATTGCCGAGACGTCGCTGACGATTCCGGGCATTTGCTATGTCATTGACGCGGGCTTTTGCAAGCAGACCAACTACAACCCACAGACGGGCATGGAGTCGCTCCTCGTGACACCGATCTCGCAGGCGATGGCCAACCAGCGCGCCGGTCGCGCCGGCCGAACGCAGCCCGGCAAGTGCTTCCGCCTCTACACGGCGTGGTCGTACCAGCACGAGCTCGACGAGACGACGATTCCCGAGATCCAGCGCACGAACCTCGGGACGGTCGTGCTCTTGATGAAGTCGCTCGGTATCAACGACTTGCTGCACTTTGACTTTATGGACCCGCCGCCGGAAAAATCGCTCATCCGGGCCCTCGAGCAGCTGTATGCGCTCGGCGCGCTCAACGACCGCGGCGAACTCACTAAGCTCGGGCGCCGCATGGCCGAGTTTCCTCTCGACCCAATGATGTCGAAGGCGCTCTTGGCGTCTGAAAAGTACGGCGTCTCGGAAGAGGTCATGACGGTCTGCGCGATGCTGAGCGTCAACAACACGATCTTTTACCGGCCAAAAGACAAGGCTGTCCACGCCGACAACGCGCGCCTCAACTTTGCGCGCGGCGGCGGCGGCGACCACATCTGCCTCCTCAACGTCTACAACCAGTGGGTCGAGACCAACTACTCGACGCAGTGGACGTACGAGAACTTTGTCGTGATGCGCGCGCTCAAGACGGCGCGCGACATCCGCGAGCAGCTCGCCGGCCTCTGCGACCGCGTGGAGATCGAGAAGACGTCCAACCCGCACAACACGGAGGCGGTGCGGAAAGCGCTCTGCGCCGGCTTTTTCTACAACACGGCCAAGCTCGACAACTCGGGCGCCTACAAGACGGTCAAGCAAAAGCACTCGGTGCACATCCACCCGTCGTCGTGCCTCGTCAAGCTCGAGGAGATGCCGCGCTGGGTCGTCTTCCACGAGCTCGCGTTCACGTCGAAGGAGTACATGCGCCAGGTCGCGCCCATCAAGGCCGAGTGGCTCACGGAGATCGCGCCGCACTACTACAAGACCAAGGATGTCGAAGACTCGTCGTCCAAGAAGATGCCCAAGCTCACGGGTCGAGCTTAAGATATCCACACAGTAGTAATCCAAGGACAGTGTACTTACTAAAGTTATTGCCTACTAGCATCAAGGGTCCATATCGTTTTATGGACCCTTGCTCGCATGCACTAGCGGGTAGGGTAGCGCGAGTGAATATGTCTTTTTAATATTTAAGTCATTTTATGTATTAAAATACATTGCTTGAACTACATATTTGAACTGTATTTGATTCCGTATTATATTTCTATTTTGACCAAGACGCTCGTGCCAACGGCGATCCATGATCGCCGAAATCAAGTCCAAAATCAAGTCGCCCAAACTTTGCTGAGCGATAGAGGACGCTTTGGAGGGCTCGGAATGCTACTCCCGTTGGTGGTCGAGGCCTACATCGGCAGCAATGGTGCTCCTATGTTTAAAAAGTGGTGGATACCACATCTAGCCATAAATACCCATATTTAAGCGGATGCCACAGTCCGCCAAAAGCAAAACTACTCAAGACGAAGCGTCTAATGGTATCGTCGTTGAGAGGGGTACTGTTGCTAGGTGCCGTCTACTCTTTCTTTGGCGCCTTGATATTGCTGCGGCTAAGCGCCTCGAGATTCGCGGGGCCGCCCCAAAGCTCCTGGAACACGGCGTGCTCCGCGTCCAGCATCTTGGAGAGCGCAATGTCATCCGCATTGCTGACAACGCGCTTGAGACTGCGGACGACATCTACAAACACACGCATATTGGCCGCCACAAACACTTGATCCAAGCGTACGCGGGTGCTTCGCGGCCATGGGTGCGAGAAAAGCGCGTGCGGTCGCGTCCATGTCCATCTCGTCGGTCGCGACGTCGTCGGCAAACCCCATCGCGAGCGCACGGTCTGCAGAAATGGCTTCGGTGCGCGCGAGGAGTCGCAGCGCTTGCTGTCGACCCACGAGCTTGACGAGACGCGCGGCGCCACCCCACGCTACGTCGTAGAATATAGTAGTCGCTGCCTCCAGAACACTGTGCCTCGACAACGTACCAGGACAGATCCCCATGTTGGCGTGCACGAATTGCACCTTGGCGTCGAGGCCAAAGAGGCGAAAGTCGCAGGCCGTCGAGAGCTCTGCGCCACCGCCAATGGCCGCGCCTTCAATGAGTGCGACGCTGATCAGCGGCAAGTTGCGCAGCCGCGTCAAGCTCGACGTCATCACGCGACTCATCAGCGAGCCGCCGTCGAGTGAGCTCAAATGCGCTTTCGCGACGCGAATGTCGGCGCCGGAGCAAAAGTGGCCATCCGCACCGCGCAGCACGACCGACGAGAGCGAAGGCGACTGCGCCTCAAGCTCGGAGATGGCGTCGGCGAACTCGGCCATCATCTTGCCGCTAAAGGCGTTGCGCGCCGTCGCATTCGAGATCTCAAGCACAGCCGTGTGAGGCAACGACGCTGCCCATGCCGGAAGCGCGCCTGCAGCGACAACGTAAGGCGGGTCGTCAAGGACAGCCTACCTGGAAGATGCAGGCGCACGCAGTCGTCGCCGCGCCCGAACGGGCGGAGGCGCTCAATGTCCTGCGGCTGCGCGAGCTTGCTCAGGAAGCGTCGACGGCCTTGTAGCATTTCGTTGTTTCTGCTACGTCAACGGCCATTGGTCTTTTTTGAGCGAATCGGAAGCGAGAACACTATTTCGTGCATGAATCGTTATATAGTGTCTGTCTCCAGCATCGTCGTCGAGAGCAGGGACACAATTGTCCAAGTGCCAAATCACTTGCACTCTGGTACAATGTCGATGCGGTGGCCGGCGTCGTGGGTCATATGGGGATTTGTATCAATGTATCACCGCCTGGCAGGACCGACAGGTTGTCCTCCAGCTGTCATGCCTCTGGTGCTTGGCTAGAGGTGGTCTCTGCCTCTCAACTCATCTCGCATGCTCTCCGATCGCAGTCTCTCCCACATAAAGCGAAGTCTTTGTCTTCGCTTTGGATTCTTAGCCCGTCGAGCTTGGTCGCCGTCTGCGCCTCTCGAGGGATCCTCCAAGGAAAGCCATGCGACACATGCGATCATGTATTTATCAATGCAAGTGGATCGCGTCCGCGTGGAGAAAGCTGTCGTCGTCGTCGCCCATGTCGACGTTCTCCACATGGTGGATGGCAATGCTCTCGAGGTAGACGTACCGCTGCAGTTCCTCCTTGGGCATTTCGACGCCCTGGTCCAGCGACTCGCGCTCAAAATCAAAGTTGAAAGGCGCGTGGCACACGGGTTCGTCCGCCTACACAAGTACGTTGAGTTTGGAGTTTCAGTTTGAATCTATGGCGTTGTACCGGGTTGTGGAGCTGGGCCAAGTACGGGTGCTCGAGCGCCTGCGTGACCGTGATGCGCTCGTCAGGGCTAAACTTGAGCATGCGTCCGAGGAGGTCGATCGCGAGTGGGTTGGCGTCGGGAAAGAATTCCAGCAGCGGCCTCTGTCCAAAATATTGTTTCAACGTGCCCACAACGTATCAAGTTGATAGTACCTTGGGGTAGTAGCCGTGCTGCGTCACCGCTTTCTTCGCCGCCTCGTGCGTCACGAAGCGCATCTCGTCGGGCGTCGGCGACCCCAGCACGCGCACAATCATGTGCAGCTGGTCGGAGGGGTCCTTCCCCGTGAAGAACGGGCGCCGGCGGAGCATCTCGGCAAAGATGCACCCGATCGCCCACATGTCGACGGGGTTGCCATAGTTCTGGCAGTCGGTGAGGAGCTCGGGTGCGCGGTACCATCGCGTCACGACGTACTCGGTCAGGTCCTCGTTGTGGAGGAGCTCGACGCCGCGCGCGAGGCCAAAGTCGCAGATCGAGAGGTCGCAGTTGGAGTTGACGAGCAGATTCGAGGGCTTGAGGTCGCGATGGAGCACGTTGGCCGAGTGGATGAACTTGGTGCCACGCAGAATCTGGTACAAAAAGTACTGGAAATGGGCGTCCGAGAGCGCTTGGGTCGAGCTAATGATGCGCTCCAGATCGCTTTCCATGAGGTCGGTGACGATGTAGATGTCATCAAACTTGGTCGTGTCCGGCGGAATCAAGATCACATCGAGAATCTATGCCAGCATCCATCGCCATGCATGCATGCATGCGTTCTCGTACGTTGATGATGTTTTCGTGCGTCCCGAGGTGGCGCAGTAGCTTCATTTCGCGCAGAATGCGCTTGGCGTCGGTGAGGTCATCAAAGACATCCGTGATCTTCTTGATTGCGACCTTGCGCCCGCGCAGCTAGTTGGCGCATGCCCGCCATGAGCCATGGACGGCGACCCGACGTACCGTGTCTTCGGCCGAGCACACAATGCCATACGAGCCGCCGCCGATCGGGCGCAGGTTGACGTACTGGGCGCGCACCTCGAAGACGTCGCGCGAGACCGTGACGCAGTGGTAGCTCGGGCCATACCGCGAGGGCTCGACCATCTGCGCTGCTCGCGGGACCTCGCAAAATGGCGGTTCCAGCGCTTGGATCTTTTATTCCATTTTTCCTCGAATCCGGCAGCGCATACAGTGGCCAAGTCTAAAATATCGAACCCGCTGGAATAAAAAGAACCACGCATGGGCGACCAAGATTCCGGCGAGGATCGCAGCATCCACGCCGACGAAGCACGTCGATGGCCTCTTCGCTGCAGCAGTCATGGCGAGGCCCGCGCGGAGATGGTCCTCTCCATGCGACTCCGCACGACGATGGGGCTGGACCACATGCTGCTGCCAGCGATGGACGCTCGCCAGCGTGGCAGAGGCAAGCGATGCATGGGGCGACGCACAAGGATTCGGTCAGAAGGCTACAGACGCCACAGCTATAGACTACAATTGACAACAGCATTTACATACGCTACATGCACACAAGGCGAGACGATCGGCGATCCATCACGCAACTGCAGGCAGGAGCTGGCTCTTGGAGAGCCGCTTGACGCTGAGCACGCGGTGCGCCTTGGCCGACCACGACGATTTGCGCTTGAGCGCTGGCGTGTATCTCGGATCCGCCTCGTCGTCGTCGTCGGATGCGACGCTCGTGGTCATGCTCATCTCGGCTTCGTCCGACGCGATGCGCTTGAGAACCAGTACCGGCGCGGGCTCCTCCATGATGGTCGCGAGCGTGCCGCACTGGATGACGCAGGCCCTTTCGCGTCGCGGCAGTTGGTGCTGCGGGACTGTCTTCTGCACGTGGTACATGTTGTGGTGGAGCACGTGCAGGCGGCTGCCGAGGAAGCCCTTGAAGATCGCGAAGCCCATGAAGCTCACGTCGTGGTGCAAAAAGTACTCGGGGTCCAACAAAATGTCGTGGACGGCGCGGACGAACGTAAGGAACGCGGCCTCGCGGGCTCGGAGCGTCGCCTTGCGGGGAAACGCCTGCTTCTTTGGGAAGGGCAGGCCCATCATGCGGTTGAAGGCCTTGGGCACGACCTCGACGAAGCCTTGGAAATGGCACAGCAGCTTCTCGCGGAAGAGGGCAAAGTCCGAGTAGCGTCGGTAGACGACCCAGGACCGGCCCGAGATGGCGTTCTGCGACTGCACGGCGTAGCACGTGCTCTGCTCGTGTGCGATCTCGGCCACTTGGACGCGGCAGATGGAGAGCACGAACGGGTCCATCGCCGCCTCGAGGCCGCCGCGGGTGATGACCTTGGTGCCGAGCACGCCACGCGTCTTGATCATGCTGGCGAAATCACCAATGAGTAGCTCGGCGCTCCTCGTGGCCACGGGAGAGGCGGTGTCGCAGCAGGTGCTGGATGTCTGGGATATATATCGCTCTGCGAATTTGTATCGTGCTGCCATCCGGGTGACGCTGGTGCCAGGCCTCTGCACCGGACCGAGTCCATGATGACGAGGTACGTACAAGTATAGCAGCGGCGACCCAATCGACGTCTACGCAGCCTGCCATCGCAAGCGCTGGGACCCCGCGCTGGATCGCACTGCGCTCCTTCCACTGTACTTGCACCGATATATTTTTTGCTGGCGGGTTCCAAGCGCGAGCCGGCTGCGAAGATGCGAAGATCGAGTGGGATCGGCTCGACTTGCAAATGTACTGACAACGAACTGAACAACTTGAAGAAGATCACAAGGCATCAGTACAAGAACAGAGCTTCTACAATGCTATGAGTGCATGACGGAGGGCTCGTTGCACGCAGTCTCCTCCCCAGCCCGTGCGCGATTCGGTCCGACTAAACGACTAAATGCCTAAGTGACTGAATGACTAAATGGAAATGACTGAATGACTAAACGACGCATTTCTAGCGGGAGCCGCGCAAGAGGTGAGATGCACGCGCCGCGCCACGTCGCGCGAGTCGGACGCGCGTAAAAGGGCCCACGCCGTGACGCTTTTGTCGGAGGATCCGTGGACGCAGCTGGCAGGATGGACACTAGAAACACGTCCCTTATGCCGCCCACCTCGAAAGACAATCGGATTTAAAGTCACCTTCACTCGATACACTATGGTGATTAAATGTGAAAGGACTTGGTGTGGCTTTAGTAGGCATCGGTGGAAAGTGTGGCGCCGCAACCCCCCGATATGATGAGCTGGTGCTCGACCTACGTATGCATTGTAACAGGTAGTTGCGTTTAAATAGACAGAGAAAATGAGCTATAGCGGGTCGATTCTACATAACATTAAATATGTGAATCAGCCGGGTATTGTGTATGAAAAGTTCATGAAAAGTATCTAAATCGAATGTGACAGGTTGCCGCATCAGTGTGGAACGCCGACGACGAGAAATGGACGCTCCCGGCGACAGCGCGGGCAGCCATCGCAAGCCGCGCCGAGGACGAGGCCGCCAGCCGCCAGCTGCGCCGAAGCCCACGCAGCCGGTGGTGCATGCCGGCCAAGACGAAGCCATGACCATCGCAACGACGCAGCTCACGAGCGCCGTTCGCAGACGGGACGTCAGCGCGATTGCCGCCATCTTGACGGCCGATGCAAAGCTCGCCAACGGCCGCGACGAGAGCGGTCGAACGGCGCTGACCACGCTGTGCGCCAATGCAGACGGCGACGACGTCTGCACCGTTGCCGACGTTCTGCTAGCCCACGGCGCGTTGATCAGCTGCAACGACGGCCTCCGCGATGGCCCGCTGCGCCTCGCGAGCCGCGGCACAAACGCAGCGCTTCTCACAAAGCTGCTCGAGGCCGCCAAGGCGCAAGAAGCACCGACGCCCAACTACGGCGATCTGCTTCTCGTCGCCCTCTCGGCCCTCGCCGAGGCCAGTCCGCTCCAAACGCTGATGCGACCCATAACGAAGAGGAAAACCAAGGAAGGCCTACCGGATGCGAAGCGAGAGGGCGGCATTGAGACGCTGGTCGCTCTAGAGGCGAGGCATCTGCCTGCGATCCAAGCGCTGATCGAGGCGTCCGAGCGGGACACGCGGGTGCCGCCCGACAACCTCTGGGCAACGACCTCGACGCACCAGACCACAGCGCTCCATGTGGCGTGCCGCGAGCTGTTGCCGACGGTCGTGTTGCTCCTCCTCTCGCACTCGTTCTTGCCATCCGTGGTTGACGCACGCAACGTCTCGGCCGTCCATTGTCTCGACGACACGCTTCTCAAGGTGGTGCAACCGAGAAAGAAGCCGCCGAGCCTCAATGCACTGCCCGCCGACGTCCAAGCGCGTGCGACCTCGCCAGTTCCCGTCGTGGTGGCCTCTGCTCACGCGTTTTTCTGTAGACCTCGGCGCGCGCACCAACACGATTCTCGGCGCGTTTGGCGAGCGGGTCGGCTACGAGAAGCTCTTCCGGCACTCGGGCACCTACGCGGTGCAGTCGCGCTGGGCCAAGAACTTTCTCGTTGCGGCCAGAGGCTTCGAGTTTCTGTTTGCCAAGGTGGGCTGTCCATCATCGCCCATAGCAGCCATGTCGATGGTCGCGTAGCTTCTGACCGAGACGCCGCGGTCGATGCGACCTTTTCTGTCGCACGTCGGCGGCCTCCACCGGCTCGCCAAGCAGCCGGCGTCTGCTTTTGCGACCTGGGCGTGGCACGAGGCGCTGCACGACCAACGCCATCTCTTCAAGGACGCGTCGCGCTATGCGTACGTGGACGATATGGAATTCGATTTCCATATCGTGTCGTAGGCATCTGTTTCGGCTCCTTCTCCATACCGACACATCGGCGGCCATTCTACACACGTGGACGTTTGTGCTGCAAGATACGGTCGACGTGTCCATCTTGTCGCCGTTCTTGCAGGACCTCACGGACGTGGTTCTTCAAAGCGGTGCGTCCCTCTTTGGCTCGCCGTCGTCGTTTCCAAGATGGTGGACGTAGCAACGAGCTTGGTCTTCCAGCTGCAAACCGAAGCCTACGAGCTGGACGAAACCGAGCTCATGCGCCTCGTCCTGGCGCGCTTCGAGATGCTTCTTGTGCTCGGCATTGCGACGAACGACGCGGCGGCGTTGCTGGCGCCGCTCGAGGGGCTGCAGCAGCTGCTTAACCTCGTCCTGCCCGCCGTGCGGCACGTCCAGGACAGCCCCGAGCGCTTTCTCGGCACGCTCTACCTCGTTCAGCTTGGGCTGCAAGTGCGAGCGACCGACTCGTCCACGCTCCAAGCGGTACGCGCGGGCGATGTAGCAAGGGGTCGATCTTGCCATGTCTAGATGGCGGCGACGCACGGTCGCAAGCCAAGTCGACCCGGGAGCTTTCTCAAGCTCCTGGCCGAGTCGTTGCCTCTGCCAGCGTCGTTTCTGCCGTGGCTCACACCCTTTCGCGGTCCCCTCAACGTTCTTTTAACGTCCGTCCTGGTGCCACGTCGGTGCGAAGCGGATGCTGACGCATGTCCATAATAGGTCCGAGCCTCTTACGTCAGTATGTGCCCCGGGGCGCGTGGCACCTCGTGGACCTCGAGACCAAAGTAGCGTACTTTGGTGCCGACGCGAGCCTCCGGGGCACGGACCTTCGCATTTCCGTGAACCGCCAGACGTCGCCCGGGCTTGTCGTCGAGTTCATTCTGCAACAAGTACCCTCCGACCGCAAAAGCGAGATCACGATGCGTGAACTAGGTGCTATCGACACCGGTGCGTCACCTCTGGGGCGACATGAACGTCGAGTTCACGCACGAGCCTGGCGCTGGCGTCGGTCCGCTGCGGTACAAGCGTGCTTGCGTCCAGCAGCTGAATCGCCCTTTGTAGCGAGTTTTTCGAGCTCGTGCGTCGGTCCTTCCTCGACCCGCAGGCCGATCTGTCGCCGCACGTCCGCGTCGAAGCGCCAGCAACCCAACGCATTGGCTCGGCGTGGTTGCGCTTGGCCCGACCCGACGCAGCGCCGCGCGTAAGCCCAACGCCGCTGACCGCGTGGTTTCCGCTGGTCGCCTACATTGGCGGCTCGTCGCTGCTGCGCCTCGCGCCTCGTCCGCAACGCATCGTGTCGCCGCCCGAGGACATACTGGGCAACCACGTGTGGCAAGTGCGCTTCGAGTCGATCGACGCCATGCGCAAGGAGAGCGACTTGTACAAGCTGTACCGGTGCCTCGGCCGGCTCTTCGGGCTGAGTGTCCGGCATGGCATCGTCCTCGGCGCGCGGTTCCCGCTCGTGTTTTGGCACGTGCTCTTGCAGACGTCGTCGATGTCGTGGACCGATCTTGTCGCGGACGACCCGGTGCTGCGACGCAGCCTGGACGCGGTGCTGGCCCACGACTTTGAGAGGACGTCGTCGTTGGAGCTGGCGTTTGAAACCTGCGACCGCGTCGAGTACAACGGCGTCATCCTGACCGCGCAAGTCGAGCTCACGCCCCACGGGTTCGAGACGCCCGTGACCAACGCCAACAAGGAGGAGTACGTGCTCGCCCTTGCGATGCATCACTTTTGCAGCAACTGCGACGCCCTCGACGCGTTGCGTGATGTACGACTACCACTCGATGAAGCGTCCGTGTACTACTATGATGGTAGGGACTGTTCGATGTCGTGCCCAAGCGAGAGATGGCCCTCTTGCGTCCCGACGAGCTGCAGCGTCTCTTGGGTGGCGACGAAGCACTGGACATGACCGCGCTCCAGGCGAGCACCACGTACGGACGACTTGGCAGCGCCGAGCACCCGACGATTCGCCACTTTTGGGCCGTTGTCGAAGCCCTGCCGCTGGCCACGCAGCGCGAACTGCTCGTGTTTTGGTCTGGCTCGTCCTTGCCTCCGCTCTTTGGCTTTGCCCATTCGGTAGAAGACCCCAAATGTGCAACCTTCCACTGTATGTAGGACGAGGTCGCGTGGTCCATTGACGTCGTTGCTGTGCCCGCGGGAAAGCCTTCGCCGCTGCCCCAAGCCCACACCTGGTGCGTCCCTACCCTGTTCTTTCTGTAGCGTCTCATGCGGAGGCGACTAGCGACCGAAGAATCGTACTGCCGGCCTACGCGACGCAAGACGAGCTCGCGACCAAGTTGGCGCTCGCCCTCGAGTTTGGCACCTTTGGCTACGACCGAATCTAGTTGCATTGTGGACAGCTATTGTTCAATGCCGACGGCGGTGCTAGACGTGGTCGGTTTCCGTGGGTGCGGCGGCTCGGCCGAGCGGCTGGAACGTCGGTGCTGTCGCCGGCGCGGGGCTCGACGGGGGCTAGCGCTGCGTGGGCAAGCTCGTGTACGCGTGGCCCGTAACCATCGAGTGGAAAAAGAGATAGAGGTATCGGAACGGCGTTGTCAGGAGCAGGAGCAACCAGACTAGCGAGGCGAGCGAGGCCTCCCAAAGCGACGAGAAGCGACTGGATGCGGACGCAGGCGGCGTTGCATCGAGCGTCTTGCGTGTGCCGACGAGCTGGACGACGGCGCCGGGCCACACATCGCCCTTCTTGAGCACCTTGCCTTGGTGGATGAGCCGCGCCGATTTCTCCCTAGCATCGTTCGTCTAAAAAGTCTTGGTAAGAGAGAGCGATGCCTACAAGTGGAAGAGCTCAGCGAGCGTCGCCGTCGGGTCGTGGACGCTCCAGATGCTCACGTAGAGGATGTAAGTCGTGTTGGCAAACTTGACGCTGCACGGCTTCTCACGCGACGCGTCCTGTCCGAGCGGATCCAGCTGGCGCACGAGCTTCACGACAGATTGGCAGTAGCTGCATCGGTTCTTCTGGTGACCGAGCTGCTTGCAGACGCACGCGACGCAGAAGACGTGGCCGCAGTCCGTCACGCACTGGTTGGGCTTGCCCTCGAGCGACGCGGCGCAGGCCGCGCACGTGGCATCGAGCACCGGCGTGTCCATGGTACTATGAGGCCATTGGCTAAAATTTTATTGAATATCGGCCAATGGCATCGCAGCGCCACGCAGTGAACGCGGGATTCCAGACCAGCGACGCCTTGTCAGTGGCAGGGCGTCCGAGCGTGCTTCTACTCGGACCCAGTGCCACTTCCTAGTGGCTACACCTCGGCACCAGCCTAAACGCACAGGCCCGTCCCCGCTGCTGCGAGTCCGACGAATTCGATCCGTGTAGCACATTGCAAAGCCTCGTCGACGACCAGACACGACGAGAACGCCATCTCGTCTAGCGACACGAGTGCAATCGCTTGGCACCGAGGTCTTCGTTGCGACTACTCCACTTTGACGCCCCGTGCTCGATTCGATCAGACACCAAGTACACCAGACACGCGTCAAGAAGCTACAACCATCAACATTGGCTTCTTCGCCCGTACGCCATCACAAGGTGTCTCTGACGCGCCAGACTTGATTTCGCTTCGATGTTGTCAGTCCACTTGCGGCATCAATGTTCCATTGCCAAGACTGGCAGGTAGCCAGATGGATGTACTCGCTACAAGGCTGCGCTGTCCGCGTGCCACGTAGTAGGATTCTTGGGATTGGGCGACCTTTAAATAGCGAAAAAGGCAACCGCCTGACGAGCGCCGACGCGATGGGCCGAGATCCGTCAACGATGGTTGCGAGCCCGACGTCGTCCGAGCTCAACAACGAGAGCGCGAGTGAGTGGGCGACGTGCTCCAACTGCAGCGAGCAAACTGTCGTGCGCCCGTGTCCTGCGCGCTGCGGCGTGGCAGCCTACTGCTCGTCGCTCTGCCTTCTGCATCACAAGACAGTGCACCGGTCGTTCTGCCGTCCGACGATTGCACCCGTCGCGACCAAGGACGCCGAGGACGTGCTTGTCGAGACCGACAACAACGCCGAGGGAAACGAGGTCGTCGATGAGGACGACGACGAGGACGACATGCCACTGCTCGACAGGTTGCAAGTGGCGGAGAAGCCGCCGGCGTTCCTCAAGAAGACTTTCTCGAGCCTCTTTCTTCTGCCCTCCAAGCTCAAGAAACTACTGCCATCGGACGACCAAGCCATTGCCCCCGAGATCGCCGACGATGCCGCGCCGACTCCGTTCGTCCACCACCACGTGTGCAGTCCGCGCGCCAACTTGTCGGAGCCCTGGTCCCGCTTCAGCGCCGACTTCAACATGCTCAAGTTCTTCGTGCACCAGTCCGGCCCGGCTGGCTTTCAGCTCGAGCTCGGCGCCGACGGCGGGCTGGTCGTGGTCGGTATCTCTCGGCCGCGCGTCTGGGCGATGGGCATCCGTCCCGGCGACCAGCTCGACCGCATCGGAGGCATGTCGACGTCCGGTCTCGCACCGGACGAAGCGTTCCGGTGTCTTTACCGCGCCGACCTTCCGACAGTAGACACGCTCTTTCTTTCATCGCAGCTCAGACGTGGAGTAGGTGCTTCGATTCCGAGCGACTGCACGCGTGCAGCGCGAGACATGGACCGTCCTGCTGCAAGATCGACTCGGTGTCACCTTTGCCGGCGACGGCCGGCTCGACATCCCGGTTGTGGACCGCGTGGTGGCCCGAACGGACGAGTCGCCACAGGTCGGTGACCTCCTCATTGTGGTCAACGATGTCTACGACGCGGTCGCGCACGGCTTGAGTGCGACCTTGCGCTACATCCACGAGAGCCCGCGCCCAGTCGCGCTGACGTTCCAGCGCCTCCTTAGCGACGCGTCACCGATGCCGCGCCCACCGAGCGAGCCGACGCTTCTCACGGAGCGCGAGCCGAGCGACGTGGCCACCGAGATGCCGCCGTCGTCTGTTCGGGCGCTGTGTGCCACGACGCTGTCGTCACCGTCCGGCAACGTCGTCTTGGTCTGGCGCGACGGCTTCCTCGGCGTGACGCTGGTCGAGCACCCGACGTCGGGGCTGCCGACGGTGCACCGGCTCACCGGAAAAGGGCAGACGCCGCTCGTGGGCCAGCTCGCGCCGGGCTACACGCTCTGTCTGTGAACGGTGACGCGCTGCTTCCGCACTGCATGGAGGCCAATTGCGCGCGTCTCGCATCGGCGCCCAAGCCCGTGCTTCTGTTGTTTGCGCCGCCGCGCAAGCAGCGACTGGTGCGCGCCGCGTCGCTTCTCGACGGTGCCTCCGCCCGCCTTCACCGCAGCTTTGCGAGGGCGCTCTGCACGCCGCGCGCGTCCGAGTACGAGGTGCTCTGGTCGGCGCCACCGCTCGGGCTCGTCTTGCACTACAAGCCGCCATCGCGGACCAAGACGCCGTGCATTAAGCGCGTCAAGCCGCACTGCGCGCTCGCGCTGCCGAATTCGGCGGACGGCCATTTGCTCGTGGCCGTCAACAACATTGCGACATCTGGGCTCGCGTCGTCGGACCTCACGCGCCTCCTCCACAGCGCCGGGTTTCCGATCGTGCTCCGGTTTCGAAGCGAATCGGAGACGTCGGCGCCGCCGTCCAACCGCATCTCGGACAGCGACGCCGCCAGCTCCATCTTGGAACTCGATGCGACGCACCGCATCGTGTGGCGGGACGGCGACCTCGGCCTCACGTTCGCACCGAACGCAGCGGGGCCGGTTGTCAAGCGCGTCGGCGCTTGCTCGCAGCGCGTCCGCGTCGGCGACGTGCTCTTGCACATCAACTCGAAGCCCGTCCCGATGGACGAGCCGTTCAGCGACACGATGGCGCGGCTCGTCGCGATGCCCAAGCCCATCGTCTTGGGCTTTACGCACGCCATGGCCGACGAACGCGGCTCCAGCGAGTCGCTTTGAGATGGAAGAATATCAACTTGATAGTTTGTACTACGAGAAGAGGCGTCCATTGTTACGGGTGGCGCAGAAGGAGGCGGATGGCCGGTCGCAGGGCGCCGAGCGAAACGCTAGAAGACACATACGACTGGAGGTGGCGGAGCACGAGGGACGACGAGAGAGATGCGGGCTTGCGCTGCAACAAGGCGACGAGGTCGTCCGGGCCTTGCTTTTCGACGCAGTGGCGCAGCAGCGGCCAGTAGAGCAGCGGACACACGGCGTCGGGCGCTCTGTCCAAGAGCAAAACACACTTGGCGTACTCGTCGTGGGCCAGCAGGAGCGTCGCGGCTTCGAGCCACGCGTCGCTTTGGCATAGGACGTCGGCGTGGGCGGACACTGCCGCTTTCTCCTCCTTGGTCGTCGAGAGCGCGAGAGGCGACAAGGCGAGAAGCGCGCGCTGGCTGTGACGGCGCGTTGGCACGAGGTGCTGGCCCTCCAGCGAGAAGAGCCGCGGGCAGTACTGGTCGACGCATGCGACGAAGGGCGACAGCGCGCTTGGCTCGTGCTGCGCGTACAGCCGGGCCATGCACTCGAAATAGAGCTGCTTGGTCGCCGGCGACCGGCGGTAGTCACTCGCCGTGCGCTCTTCGTGGAAGAGCAAGTGGCTCGGGACGCCCGATGTCGGCGAATGGCTCTTAAAGACGACGTTCTCGAGTAAAAGCGCTTCCAGCTGCCGCAAAAGCCGGCGGCCAAACTGGGCTGAGCACGCCCACGAGGTAAATTGAAGCGGCGAGAGTGCGTGGAGCTCGCGGCTGATGGTGAGCGGCGTCGGACGGAACCGCTGCATGTCGAGCGAGACGTCCGACTCGGCCGTGCGCGCGCGCGGGCGCACGTTCGTTTGCGGCTGCAGGAGCGCGTTGCGCTCGCAATTGAGCTGCAGCCACGCGTGCACGTACGCAAACGAGTCCAAGTTGATGGGCGTGAGCGGGCGAAGCGGTGTCGCCGCCACCGCCGCCGCCGGCACCGCGTGCAATGCGTGCTTGTAGTGGAGCTGCATGGCCCCGAGGCGCCCGCGGAGGTCGTCGACGATCGATTCCGGGACTTTAGCGTCCGTGAGCAAGGCCAGAAGCAGCGCCGGGTGCTCGAGGTGCGCCGCGACCGTGTCGTAGGCATCGCCCTTACGGTCGTTGACGTGTGCTCGGCGAAGCGATGCGTACGCTGCCGCCACTTGCGGGAACCTTAGCGACGGGCCGTGGTCTCGCAGGTGCGCGAATCCCAATGGAAGGCTCTCGGCGTACTGCGTCGCGCTTGGCAGCTTGAGGCGGTAGAACGCGTGCTCGGCATAGACACCGGCGTAAACGACCGAGCCCCAGAGACGATAGGTTGTCGCCGTCGGCAGCGAGAGCGACGTGGCTTCGGCGCCCGAGTGCACGTCGTACACCACCAGCGTGCTCTCTAGTGTCGTGACGAGGAGGAACTGCCGGTGGCACGCGAGCGCAACGACCGACGCCGGCGCCGGCAGCGTAAAGGGAAGTCGCCGACAGTGTAGCTGGCCCTTGACGAGGTGCGCGAGATGGAGAATGCCAGACGACTTGGCGAGCGTCAATAGCGCACCCGTGACGTCGTGCACACAAGCCACGAGGTCGAGAAGCGGCGATGGATGCGAACACGAGTGCGTCACGGGCGACTGCGCGCTCTTGAGCTCGACGTGGCAGTCGGAGACGAGCCAGAGCCCGCGCGACGAGCTCAAGAGGGCCACGCGGCTCGACGCGTCACGAGGTAGCGTCATCGGATGGCCCACGACGATGTGCGTCGGGTGCTTGGCGAGCGACGGAATGGTCTCAAAGCTGACGTGGCGGCACTGCAGCGCGCCATTCGCATCCGACCACGCGAGCCCGTGCGCACCGGCAAAGGTCGGGAACGCGGTGAGCGCTGCGACCGGATCGTCGGCAAAGCGAAAGCTATTGAGGTAGACCCACGAGAGCTTCTCGCGGGCCCACTCCCAGACATAGGCGTGACCGTCCTGCCGGGCGACCACGAAGCGCAGCGTCTTGGACGCTCGCAGAAAGGCCATGTGCAGCACCGGCGCGTTGTGGCGCGCAAGGAGCATGTCCGTGTTGGCGGCGACAAACGGGTCGGGCGACGCATCGGCCGCGAGCTCCTGCAGTAGCTCGAGCTGGAACGCCTGGTCGTACTTGGGCTCAGGCGTTGCGTCGACGATAAGAACGAGGTCGAAAGGTGATCGGCCATGCGCCACGTCGCCGAGCGGGTCTCTGTACCGGAAGCAGGCGGCAATGTGCCCCGCGACCGCCTCGACGAGCGCAAGATGGAGGTTCATGGCCGCGAGGCTCGGGATGAGCGACGCCAGCGAGCCGCGCGCGCACGGCCATGGCAGGTCTTTCGTAAGGCCGTAGCACTCGGTCGCCGCCCGCGCCGAGCGCGCATAGGCCTCGACGACCGCGCTGCCCACGGGCGATCTTGGCTCGACGAGCGCTGGCACCATGCGAATCCCCTCTCAAACTCAATGCGGAGCCAACTTCACCAGCTGGCGTGAAAATCACACGCCCATGTGAAAAATGTGGGAAAAGCCATCCTTCAACCTGCCCGAGCATCGTCGCCGCCTGCTGGAGGAACATGCATCGAAGTGCCATCGTCAGAACTGCACTCTATTTTGCATTGGGATCCATGCGCGGGATGCTGGCGTCGTGGTGGCCCTTGCGGCGGCGACCGAGCTTGACGGGCGGCGCCTTCTTGGGCTTGCCGCCGACATGCAACTCGGCTTGGTTGCTCGGCGCGACGAGCGGCAGGTGGCAGATGCACGCCATGCGGCCGCACGTGTGGCACATGAGGTCTTCGCGGACGTCGCGCTTGGGCAGGCGCATCGCGAGGCTCGTCTCGTCGACGATGGCCTTCGTCGCACGCACGATCGCGTCGTAGGTCGCGAGCACCTGCGGGTTGCGACTGCCGCTTGCTTCGAGCGCCAAGGACCGGTCCGCCGCCGCTGCCGCCACCGTGGCTCGGAGGAGGTCAGTGCTTGCGCGCGCGTGGGCCACGTTGGTCGCATACGAGAGGCTGGCGGATGGCGACGCCGGCGGCAACAGCGCGCGCAGCCGAGCGTTCTCCTTTCGCAGCAGCACGTTGCGGCGAACGTTCCGGACCTTCCAACGCACGCGCTGTCGGCGCACCGCCGTTTTCGTGTCCGCGTCGTAGAGCCCGAGAGCCCGCGAGAGCTCCAAGCGGCGAAGGCCCTCGATCTCCAGCGTCTCGTCCATGAGGAACTCGTCGCGGTCCCGCTCCAAGTCTTCGAGCTCCATCTGCAGCGCCTCGATCTCGTGGTCGTACTCGCGGATCTATAAGTTGCTTTTGAACGAATATGCGATCGGAAGGCGTCGACCTGCTGCCGCTTGCTGAGGATCTCTTCGGCGCTTAGAAGCCGGGAGAAATGAATCACAACCTTCTCGGTCTCAAATGCCTCGGCCCAGCCCCGCCCGACGTCTTCGGGCGTCATGCTCGCGAGCTCCTTGTCGACGAACGGCGCCCGCAGCTCCCAGTCCAGCTACCTCACGTATCCAGATATCAAGATGACCCATCCAAACGACGCACCCGCATTTGTTTCAAGTCGTGGATGTGCTGCAGCGCCTTCTTCTTGTACTTGGCGAGGCGCGCGAGGTCGGCCGACGCATCCACGTAGTCGAACTGCACCATTTCCAACTCGTCCTGTCGCATAGTATCAACTTGATACAGTGATAGAAGAGGGGCCGTGCCTTGAACGTGGTCATCGCGCGCGCTTTGACTTCGATTCGGAGCAGGTCCCGCATCGCTTGGCACTGCTGCCGGCTCTGGAAGCTGCGCCACGCGGCCTGGACCTTGACCGCCGCCGCGCCATAGCGTCCGCGCTGGGCCATGCGCCGTGCGGTCACGTGTTTGCGTGCGAGGAACTGCCGCACGAGGCACTGGACGGTGCTGGCAGCGGCATGCTGCAACCCCAACAGCTTGGCTTCCCACGCAACCCGCTCGGCGTGCGCGCGCTTGGCTTGGCGCCACGCAAACTATCCCGTTCTTAGTATCAAGGTATCAAGGTAGCAAGTGTCCAGACCTGAATGACACACGCGGCTTCGTGGCGATCGCGGAAGTCTTCGAGGCGCTTGCGGACCATGTAGCCGCGGAAGATGCGCTGAATGAGCCGCGTGGAAGGCCCAACGACAGTCTTCAAGTGCACTTTTCGGCGCTCGCGCCGCAGCACGAGGCGGGCGAGGAAGCCGCGGCCTGCTGCGCCGATGCGCGACGCCAGGAGGTTGCGCCGGCGCTGCTCAAAGATGCCGGCCCATACTACGCGGTTGCGATAGGCGCGGTAGGCTCGCTGGAGCGTGCTCGCCATCGCCCGCTGCAGCTCAAGTTGGCGGAACCGAGCGCGGCCGCGGCCGCCGCGAAAGACGCGCTGGATCGCAATCGCCGCGGGCGTGTGGATAACGCGCCGGGCGTGCTCGGCTTTGGCGCGGCGATAGAGGCCTCGGCCAACGTGCCCACGGTACACGCGCTGCAGAAGCGACGCGGCCGGGACTTGCACATGGCGCTTGAACTGCGCGTGCCGAAACATCTTCGCGCGCTACCCACCACCATCGCTTCTATGGGATCGAACACGAGAGAAGGGAATAAGTACCCGGCGGCCAAAGAGGCCGCGGACGCAGCGCTGGATCTGGATCGCATTGGCGACGTGGTATCGCATCCAGAAGACCCACTTGCGCGCGCGGTGGCCGCGGAAGAGTCGCTGCAGCCCGACGGCGCCAAGGACCATGTGCGCTCGGAGCACTCGCGTCGCGTGGCGCGAGACACTGGAGCGATACGCGGCCTGAATATGCGTGGCCGCAAAGGTCGAGACGAGGAAGAGCTCGGTCGTAAACACCCGCGCACGATACCCGCGGTAGACGCGCTGCAGCGTGATCGCATGGCGGTGTCGCCGCAAGAGCCGTCGCAGCACGCGGCTCTAGCATCGCCAACAGGTGACTCCACTCGTATCAATGTATTGCGTGCGCACATGCAACTGTTGACGGAAGAGGCGCTGGATCTTGATGGCGGCGAGGCTGAGCGCTCGCATGCGCTTCTCGTAGCGGTGCACGACTGCGTGGACGTCGGCGTCCTTCCCGAGCGCGTGATGCTCGCGATAGAGCGCGGCTTGTTCCTGCGCGAGGAGGTCCTTGAGCGCTTGCGGCAGCCCGTGGTAAAAGTGAGGAACACGCGTCGGCGCTTGCGTATCGTCGACGAGGGCTGCCACGTCACGAAGGCTCGTTTTCGCAGTGGGATCGACGCCGGCGCTTTGAACGTGCGCGTGGCTCAAGCCGAGACGCTCGGTGAGCGCGAGCGTTGCGGCCGCCGCATCGTGCTGGGCGACCGTGCGACAAACGACATGCAGCTCGACGGCGATGGTGCCAAAGCAAGGCAACCGGCGCACATGGTCGCCAATGTAGCTGAGCTTGCGACACCGATGCAAGGGCACACACCCGTCGCAGTCGAGGAGAGCGCTGTAGACAAGCTCGAGGCGGTGCAGCAGTGGGAGCCGCTGGAACGCGTCCGACACCAGCGTCACGCCAAACACGGCATTCCAGTGCGGCGGCGCCGGCGCGCTCGGGTCATTACTGAGCGAGACAGGGTTGAGCCGGTCGCGCGCCTTGACGGCCTTGGCGCACGCAGCCCGCGCCGCCTTTTCGTGCTCGAACGTCCCGACGAGTGTCGGCGCGAGCTGGTCGGGCCGCGACGGCTTGCCATAGCGCGAGCGCGGGTGGTCGAACCACTCGGCCACGCTGCGACGCCACGGAGCGTAGTAGATCTGTACCTTCCACTTCTTGGCGCTGAGCTGCGAGACTGTCTCGAGCTTGATGCTCTGGTACCAGTACCGCTTCGGGCCCAGCACGCGCCGCTGGAGCTGCCGCAGACTAGAACGGCGACGTGACCAGATTCCCATATGATCTATGCTACCTGAGGTTTTCAATGCGGAGCGTGTGGGGAGAGAACGCGGCGCGGAGCCTCCTCTCGAGGTCGGCTTCGATGGGGCGGTCGCAGGCGTCGGACGTCGCCGCGCCTACCAGCGCGTCAACTCTGTCGCGAGCTGATACATGGGGTGTACGGGCCGTCGGCCGCTGGCTCCGGTGACTCATTAACACGACAATCCAAGCGGTTTCAATATAAAAGGCTTTCAGTTACGAAGCGTCTATACACATCTAATACCGACCGGGTGCCATCGAGGGCGGCGACTTGAGACAAAAGTCGACGACGAGCGGGACGTGGTCCGAGAGGTACTGGCAGTTGGGCAAGCACGTGCGTGCGTACGACTTGAGCACGTCGGGCGAGTGCACCTTGAGCGCGGCCACCGGCGTGAGCTTGTCGGACGTGAACCAGATGTAGTCGACGACACCGACCCACGAGCCTGCATCGCAAGTTCAGCGCATATTCATTCAAGATGGAGACAGGCACACCCGTGTAGTTTGTGTAGTCCGGCTCACACGGACGCGTAGGCGCTGGCAAATGGCATTGAGTGCGCGAATTTGGTCATGGGCACGACTTCCGAGAGCTGCTGCAGCTCCGGGTGGTCGCTCTGGACGTGGTTCTGACTCAATAATTCGTAGACAGCGCTCGGCGGCTCGCTGTTAAAGTCGCCGCAGAGGATGATCGGGAGCCGTCTCGAATTGGCAATTTGCTCCAGCTAGAGGCACCTTTGATGGACGACGTAGGTGGCAGCGTCGAGTACCTGCTGGAGAAGGGTGTTGGTCTGCCACAGCTTGACGTCCGGGAAGTCCGGATTCGAAAAGATGTGCACGTTCGCAACACAGATGCTCGGTAGCACGGGCTTGCGCACCATGGAGCCATTTGCCTCGGGCAACACATCGAGCACGACGATCTGCGACACATTATCGCGCACAAGGCGCTGGCGCACGCGCGAGAGGCTGGCCTGGTACGAGTCGCGTTCGTGGTGCGACGCCGTCGGGTATGCCATGTCAAAATTGGCGAGGAGCGACGCGACAAAGTCGTTGGCGGCTTCGTTAAACTCGAGCGAGTACTGCTCCTTGAGGTAAAACCTGTATACGTGGCGTCCAGCAACGATTGAACGCAGGAAGGGGCGTACCGATTCTTGCGGTAAAACATCGCACACCCGTCGACTTTGCCCGCGAGGCCCATCGACTCGCGCGTCTTCTGGAGGTAGAGGCCTTCGTACCCAAGGTCGGTCATCATGGGCTGGAAAAAGTTCTTGTAATGGTCGGCTTGTACTTCTTGGAGGCAGAGGATGTCGGCGTTGTAGACTTGGAGCTCGCACTTGAGGAGCTGCTTCCGGAACGACCAGTTGAGCGCCCACATCGGGCAGTACGGGTACATCTGTCGCGTTGCGTAAATCTCGGCGAGCACGTTGTACGAGAGAACGCGGAACGAGCCAATGTAGCGGACGCGGGCCGCGTCCTTGATGCTTGAAATCATCGGCCGCTTCGGCGCCAGCGGCGGAACTGCAAGAGGCAAGCGCATGAGACCACGCGGAGCACAACATGAGGAGCGTACACGGAAGGACGATGTTGGTCTCGGTATACTTGGGCGGGCCGCACTCTTCGCCGGACCGATACATGGCCGTGCATTCGACGCGAAGCACATGGCCCACGTCGCTCGTGGTCGGGATGTACGTCCTACGCGCTACGTTTGCCGGTGCACGAGACGACGATGCATGCAACGTACTTGGAGGCCTGCAGCGCGGTCCACGTCTCTTCCTTGACCGGGACCATGGCCGAGTTGAGCAAGTCGAGGCTGCGCACCTTCTCTTTTGCTGCGCTAACGTCCTTGGCGGTTCGGTTCTGCTGGTTTTGCTGCTTGGATGGCATGTCGTGGAGCTGCCGATGCTGGCCCCAGCCGCTGCGGAAGCATTCGGGTGTGCAAAAGCCCGATTCTTCGTTCGCGATGCCCATGCGCGAGCAGACTGCGCACTCGATCTTCGCCATGAGCATGACAACGTTGCCTTCACCGTTTCCAATGCGTGGGCATTGCTTGTTTGCGCAAGCGCGCTTCGAGTTGGACTTGTACCAGCAAAACTTGAGGTGGAAGTCGTCGTCGTCAATGTCGCCTTCCGAGGACCGGTAGAACGCATGCGTCGTGACCTCGCATCCTTCGACGGGCTGGTCCACGCGAAGCGAGATGCGACCTTCGCCGCTCGTCGGGGACCCCCGCGGTGGGCTCTGCGAGAAATGATACGCTCGTCGGTCAAGACCCTTCATGCCGGAGGTCGATCGAAAGCTAGGAAGATGGGGGCGTTGATGGATCGACGTCGAGGAGCCGAGGAGGATTGCGCGGAGCTCGAGCTTGATGGACCGCGGAAGCGCGGAGGAAGAGGCCGAGGAAGGAGCGCGGTCGTCGGCGCCGGAGGTCGGCGCTTCCAATGTAACGTCCAAGAAAGCACGGGTTTATAACCTCTCGTCGAACCTGCCAAATCGCATATTCGATTTCACAGGATGAAGTGCGCGAACCTGGGGTGCATGCCGCTTCAACGCGTCGCACGCTTTAAATTCCACCCCGTGCTCGCACTCAGCGACCTTGCAGCTCCTTGTTCCTAGCTCTTGTCTGCATTATCTGCTCTAAACCAAGGACATACTAGCACGCTACCGAATCGCATAGAAGACTCGGAGACGAAGGTGCATCGATGTAGTTGGTCGCTCACATTTCCGGCAATTTAGTGGATTTTTCAAAAATCAAACTGGCGGGCGGCCACCAGTCATTTTACCAGAGCTCGACAGTCCTCGTAGGCAGGACCTTCGGACAGCATCTAGTAGACCTTTGTGCTAGTCGTTGCCGAGATGGGCTGCGTAGTTGGTTCGGTTGACGACGCGATGCGCGAAACGGTGTCGAGCCGACGGCAGCCAATTGTCTCGGAGGTGCGCGCGGCCCAAGTGCATCACCTGACGGTTGAAACATCCCTCTTTTTGTCAATGCAAATCCGTGTTTGTCATTTCCCACGACGCTGAATATCGAATGAAAATTCCAAATCGTCGGTGGGTTGTTCGCAAGATCTGGCCCAGCCCGATGACGAAGAAGAGCCTGAGCGCCATGGAGGACGAGCCGATGATGCAAGCCTGCTTCTACACCAAGTTCGGGAAGCCAACCGTGCTGCAGATGGGTCTTTTGCCCAAGGCGAAGCTCCTCGCACCCGAGGAAGTCCTCGTCCAGGTGTACGCCGCCTCGATCAACCCGGTCCACCTCATCGCCGCCAGCGCCATGCTGATGCTGCTAGCCTCGCGTAGATCGACTACAAGCGACGTGAAGGTGGCCTCAAGGCCGTGCTCGATACCAAATGGCCGCAGATCGTCGGCTACGACCTTGCAGGCGTCGTCGTCTTGGTCGGCGCCAACGTCAAGCAGTTCCACGTTGGCGACGAAGTCTACGCCTGCCTACCGCACGACCGACCCGGTTCGCTTGCTGAGTATAGCGTTACCGCTCCATCGCGCATGCATTTGACGGACGGCGTAGATACGTCTCGGTCGCCGAGCGCTACGTGGCCACGAAGCCACGCTCGCTCAGGTCCTGCATCTCTATCGACGCCTCCTCGCACTCACGACTGTCCGTGCTAGCTTTGTGCAGGCTGCCGCGCTTCCCATCTCATCGCTCGTTGCGCTGCAGACGCTACGCCGACTGGAGCTGCGCGAAGGCCAAAAGTTCCTCCTCACTGGCGGGTTGGTTTCCTTCCCAAGAGGTTACCTCCGCATCGTCGCTCGATATTAGGTCGGGTGGCGTCGGAACGCTCGCGTTGCAGCTGGCGAAAAACGTATTTAAGGTAAGCATCGTTCCACGTCCCACTCGACACCCATCGCATCATCATTCCTAGGCGGGCACGATCGCGACGACGGCGTCGCAGCAGAAAAGCACATATCCTCA